CTGGTTGTTGGATACCACCAGTCACAGACTCCAGAAGGGAAGAATCACAGGTGCCCCAACTCAGTCGGACCTGTAGGGTAATCACAGTGGGTACACAGGATACTCTAGCCCAGGGTCCAGTCTAAAAGTGTGTGAATTGCAAAAGTCCACCCCAGCATGGATCAAGGCCTGACATGTGAGGGAGTCCACTTGAGAGAGACCAGAGGAGGGACAGACGTGCAGCCTGTCCTGTAATCTGACCATACGCATCCAGTAGCCTACATATCAAATCCCTTCTATGTTCACTCCTAGTGAGTCCTGTCTCTTCTCTACAAGGGTCACTACAAACACCCTTTGCCACAAAGAGAAATTCATGAAGCAGAACCTCACAAACAACCCTTTGTAGAAAAGACCACAACATCTGAAGGGGTTGTACACCACCAGCAGCTACAGTTCTAGCCTCTCCCTACCACTTTGCCCACAACATAGCAGTAACGAAAAAAAGGAATGAGGAAGACAGGTGAATGGGGATTCAATGCTCAAATGAGATTCCTTCTTACTCAGTAATAGAATAGTTTACCTCCCAACCTCCACATGCTGCTGGTTCCATGAAGAACTCACTTGCATATTAACCTGTCCAGATTTCAATCAATTTGGTTTAGCCAATTCTTTTTAAAATTAAGAGGGAAGGCCACAGTAAAAACAGATAGAGAACAGACCAGAGGAACCCTCCTCACAAGATACAGAAGGAAGCCACATGAGTGACAAAGTGCTTGAGGTTCAAAACCAGTGCTGCTAACATTACAGTACAACCTTACAGAAGGTGCTGCCCAGTTAAATGCCTACATACAGCAGTACTAGGTGAATCTCAAAGCCTAAGAGATGTAGATCTTGCTCAGAGTAAAACAATGGGAGTTCTTGCTTGGGATCTGACAGCATGATGAGGCTATTAGAGGCACTAGGCTTTGTATAAGATATTAAACTAAGGTGATACTGAAGATCCCACAGCATTTTATCTAAAGGGGACACATGCCCTACCTACATTTCCTCTCTCATAAAACGGTATCTAATGTGTATATCTCTCTGCGAGTCATTGCTGAGAAAACAGTGGTTGCCCGGTTTGCCTATACAGTCACCACAATACCAATAACTACTGCATTCACCTTGAGAATGAAAGGTGCTATAAGGAAACCAATTTTTATTCTATGAATGCAGCTTTGTGTGCATTTATCAACCCCAGACTCAAATCTGTCAACCATTGTGTAAGAATTAGATGGTTTAAGCAGACTGTCAATCTAACATGTGGGATCTTTCTTTCTTTGGGCTTCAATGAGATGACATATGGAAACATGCATTTAGACAGGGTCCATGTGAGTAGCTTTGGCTCTCTAGAAAGACTCAGACCAAACTCTGAGCTCCTGTCTCATTGCATAAAGTACAACCTGTCATTAAGCAGGAAACTGACATAACACTTGTCACATGCCCTGACGCTTTGTCTAATAGTTTTGCACAGTTCTCACATTTTATTCATCCAAAAAACCAATCTCCACAAACTTTTTGAGCACTCAGCAAAGGAGCCTGTTATGTTCTGAAAGCTGCAGAACTTGTTCACTTTGTTCTTCGTTGCATTCCCAGCAAAAGGCCTCATTAGCCTTGTCTCCTTTGATGCATTTAACGCGCCTTTCCCTCCCCCTCACATGCTTTGAGGTCCTGCCAACTTTGTCAGAGACAATGCGCAGGGAAAAAACATGTATTCAATTAAATTACAAAATGAAGGAGTAGCTTGCATGAGCAGGGTGAATGCAGCAAGGCTGTCTAAGCACAAGGGTAGGTTGGGGGTGTGGTGGTAACAGCCTAAGCAGAAGAGCAATGATTTAGAGAGACATATTGCAACCAAATGAATGGGCTGGGGAAGACCATCTTTTGGTGGTAATAAGAATAAAACCCTGCAGATCTCTAGCACCTTTCTTGGTCAAAGAACTTTACAGATATTAATGAATTAAGGATAAAAAAACCCTCTCAGTGTTACATATTATTATCCCCATTTTACAGGCAGGCACAGCATTGGGAAGTTAAAGAATTTGACTACGGTCATAAAGCAAGTCTGTACCAGAGATAGGAATAGACCTCAGGAGTCCCAGCTACAAGTCCCCTGCTCTAGCCACTAGCCAACATCCCACAAGGGTTAAAGGGACAATATTGATTTCCCACACTGATTAACAAACTCCAGGCTATAAGTTGTCCCCTTAGGAGCATCACAGGGGTTTAGTCAAAAAAAAAAAAAACACCTTAGAGACTAACAAATTTATTTGGGCATAAGCTTTTGTGGGCTGGAACCCACTTCATCAGATGTATGAAGTAAAAAATACAGGAGCAAGTATAAGTACATGAAAGGAGGGCGTGCTTTACCAAGTGTTGGGTCAGTCTAACGAGATAAATCAATTAATATCAGGATACCAAGAGAGGAAAAATAACTTTTGAAGTGGTGAGAGAGTGGGTAAGCCCTGAATGACTGAAGATCCCAATTAGCTGGACTTCAGTTTGGCCCCTTATACCTTCAGAAAATTGGGTTTTACCTGTAATAAACTTTAACACACCTCTACCCCGATATAACACGACCCGATATAACACAAATTCGGATATAATGCAGTAAAGCAGTACTCCGGGGGTGGGAGGCTGTGCACTCTGGCGGATCAAAGCAAGTTTGATATAACACGGTTTCACCTATAACGCAGTAAGATTTTTTGGCTCCCGAGGACAGTGTTATATCAGAGTAGAGATATAGTACCAAGAGAAGTGTTTTCATTGTTTTAAATTCAATCAGCATAGGGGAAATGTAACAGAACTGGGCAAATACAGCAGAAAACATGTTAAGGCATGGAAATCCACAGTTAAGGCATCCTTAATTCAGTCATCACATCCCCATGAAATAACCGTAGAGTTACGACTGATGTATTCCAGTGTTTGTGGCCCACATCCTCAACAGTATTTAGGCACCTAAATCCTATTGAAGTCAGTGGGAGTCGGGCTCCTTAATACCACTGAGCATCTAGGCCTACCATCCAAGATTAAAGCACGCTGATTTTTTTGTCATTACAGGGAAGAATCACGTTTGTGTGTGTCTTATCTCAAACTTAATATGAAAAAAAGTGTCTTTAGAAGTCAGTTTAATTTAATCTGGGACTATAAATATTAGTATGGATTGCATCACTATAGGTAGGGCCCTTCATTTTCAGTTTTATTTTATTTTGTGTTTCCTGGGAATTTATCAGTGTTTATTACCACAACAAAAACAGGTGAAAATCAGTGCAAAAATTATTAATTTTTCTGGGTAAAACAGGGATTTATTTTGGTGGATGGAAAGACAGAGGAAAAAAGTATTCAGTAGATTAATGCTTTGAATTCCGTTCATCAATGTGGTTTGCTGCAGAACCAAAACAGAAATCAAAACACGCCACCTTTGAGTTTAAGAAAACAATACATCTCTAATCAAATAAAACTTTTTATTTGAATAAACAGTTTACTGTTGTAGACTTAGAACTATTAGCCTATGAATATTTACATTTAATAATTGGGCCACACCATTTGTAGCACACGCTCAACTTCATCCTTTTCTCCTGTTTGTTTTTTCTTTAAAGTTTTGAATACTTCCTAGTGTTCTGAAATATATTGATACAGATTTTCGTTTTCCCATTTTAGTGTGTCCAATCTTTAAACCTGTTATCTGCTAACAGCTTGAATGTGTACATGAGATTCATCAGTATGTTCAGATGCGCATACTTCAGAGCTTGCGTGTGTGCATCTTCGACTCATACATAGCCTTACTTCAACAGGCAGCTTTGCATATACACACACACAGACTACATTGCATGAGATATATGTATTATGATAATACATTAATGTATTTTCCTAATAAAACAAGTTATTTTTATATGTTTGAATGATAAAGTAGGGTGAAAATCAGAAAAAAAGTGAATAATATTTTTTGTAAAACCTGGGAATTTTTTGGTCAGAATTGGTTTAAACCGAAAACAAAGGGGCTTAACTATAGGGAAGAGTTAAAGTGGCTTGGGTGCCTTAAATGTGCTTTTCCACATCAACTCTGAATTTCATGTGTTGTAATGCTTGTTTTGTTACACCATCTCTAATGTTTTTACCCTTACATTTATCTGAATTCTCAATCTTAACTTCATTACTTCATTTTAAGAGGGTTTGCGGGGGGGGGGGGTGTCTGAGAATGTGTGCGCACATATGTACACAAATACTTACCTCATTTTTTAAAAATTCAACATTTTTATGTGCACAAGGAACAAAAAACAGCTGGCCTTCACACTTCACTCCACTGCAACATAAAAGAATATGAGAGTTTGAGCTTTTGATCAGTACTTGAACCAAGTTTCACACATGTACAGCCAAACGCCCCTTACATTTTCAGTGGCAGCGTTGTCCATGGCACGAGAGAGGTTGCACAAGCCACACACGGTGCCATCCAGAGCTCAGTGGTCTTTTCGGTGCATGCAGGAGGCACTGAATGGAGCAGCAGGCAGACAATGCAAAACACCAGCTGCTGCCCAGCTCCCTTAGCCTTAAACGTCCTTTTGTCTTTAAGGGCAAAAAAAACAAAGGGAATTAAATGCAATAACGCTGCGTTAACAGTACAGAGGAAGGCTCCAGACCTACTGCTGGTGGGGTCAGGGCTAAGGCTACTATAAGCTTCGCCTGCCTTCAAGGCGAGTAACGCCGAGGCCAGGGCCAGGCCCTGCCACACACGCCCTCCCGCCAATTTCCCATCTCTCCGCCGGCCCAGCCTTACGCATGCGCGTTGCCGGCGGGACGGATCATACCATTCCTCTGCGGTGCGTGTGGGTGTTGGCGCAGGGGAGGAAATCCCAGATTTGCTACCGTCCTCGCCCGGAGGCACCGCTCCGCACATCCCGAGCGAGGGACACGGAGGCCTGTGTGATCTCTGCTCTACGCGGTTCCAAACCGGCCAAGTTCCCGGCGTTGGCTCTTTCCAATCTATTTCCAGCTCGCCCCCCCCCCGAGGGAGGAATGGTTCGCCCAGAGGCCGGGCTCTGCCTCTGAGGACCGGGGGCCGCCATTTTGTCAGCAGCGGCTGCAGGAAAGGAAGGTGGAGGCGCCCGGAGCCTCCTCGCCCCGTGTAAGGCCCCCCTGGCCCGGTGAGCAGAGCGCGGCGGAGAACTGGAGGCTCAGGTGTCTCGGGTCCCAACCGCGGCTGGGCCCTGCCTGAGCGGGTCGGGGGGAGCTAGGCCCAGCCTGCAGCTCGAGAGAGGCGCGCGCGCGCGGAGGGGCTCGGTGGTGAGGCCTAGCGCGCGCGGGGGAGAGGGGGGGGTTTATAAGCTAGGCCTCATTTAGGCGCAGCCTATCGATTAGGTATGTGGTCTGGTCCTCACGCCCGTCTCCCGGAAATGCTTTGGTCCTGACTCCCTTCTTCCCTTTCCCTATGGTCTGACCTCTGCTCCCCTGTTCCCAGACTCCCTCTCCCCGGGATGATCTGGACATTCACCTCCCTCCTTGGAAATGGTTTGGTCCTGGCCCTCGCATGGTGTGATCCCTGCTCCCCCTTTCCCTTCCACCCGCACTCCAGTAGGGTCTGCTCCTTGGCTTCCCCCTCTTTTTTCTCCTCACAGCAGTACCAGTTGGTTGGGTTCTTTCTCTGGGCCCCGTCCTACACAGGCTTGGCCCTTGCCCCATTCCCTCAGTTGGGGTGATTGGTGAGATCATTGCAGATTGTAAACAAATCCTCTTTCTTTCCTAGTTTTAAATAACTTCGTTCATAACCCCTCCTGTCCAGGCACTACCCACAAATGTCACTTTATATGTCTGCTGTTAGAACATAACACAACACTTAAAGCTTAGAGAAGATAAAATGCAACATCTCTTGGTAGGTTATTAGGGCCTAGGAAGAAAAGCATTGTCAGTGTTTTACAGAGAAACAAACTGATTTATTATGAGATTAAAAATGAATAAAATGAGAGAGTAAAAAATTGCTGATGCCCCCCCCTTTTTTTTAATCCATTAGTAAAATCCAGCAAAGATGTCTGAATACATCCGCGTTACTGAGGATGAGAACGATGAGCCCATTGAGATCCCTTCAGAGGATGATGGCACTGTGCTGCTATCCACAGTTACTGCCCAGTTCCCCGGAGCATGTGGCCTGCGTTACAGGAACCCAGTGTCTCAGTGTATGAGAGGAGTCCGGCTAGTGGAAGGAATTCTCCATGCTCCAGATGCTGGCTGGGGAAATCTGGTCTATGTTGTTAATTATCCCAAAGGTCTGTCTTTATTCCATGAATTTTTGGTACAACCATACTTTCTTAGTTACAAGGAATTTACATCAAGATCTATAGATTTCTTAGTTTTTATGTTTTTCTCTTAACTTACTATCAAACCATAGCAGCAACTGCAAATAAGTCTTTTTCACTTATGTGCCTGGCCAACAAAATGAATTTCAGAGCGTTCCCTATTATTTAGCACCATAATTGTACAAGATACTTTACAAATAAGACTTTGTCTTACAGTTTGTAAGGCATTTAACAATCTTATACAGATACCTTCCAAAGGTCCAATCCTACAGTGAGCGCCGTGCAGGGCTGAGGTTTGCCCATGTGACACTTTTTGCATGATCTGGGCCAAAGACATCAGTTTTGTAGGGGAGGGTGTGGGAAAGGCGAAGGATGAAAAGGAAAGGGAAAAGTAAGGAGAGCACTTTTCCTTTTTCATTGAGTAGCCATTGTCTCAAACTATATATGATATACACAAACTCTGGTCAGGCACATGAATGTTATTTGGCAGTACTTCAGTGGAAAACAAGCTGAAAGTGTGTTTTTAGATGAGAGTTTGAATCTGCCTGTTTTCTGCACTCCTCTCCCTGATATTGTAGGGCAGTTGTATGTGGATTATAACATATATGCAGCAAATAGTATGTATCTGGAAGAGTCCCAGTTCTTAGCTTCCACAATACATCCTGCAAAAAAAGAATCTAATCCTTGTGCTATGCTGCTTCTGACCAATGGAAGTAGCTTTCCTTTCCTTTGATGTAATGTGGAGATGACAGTTTCTGATGTACATCTTTACATTCAGATAACAAGAGGAAAATGGATGAAACAGATGCCTCATCAGCTGTGAAAGTAAAACGAGCAGTACAAAAAACATCTGATTTAATAGTTTTGGGTCTTCCCTGGAAAACTACTGAACAAGATCTAAAGGAATATTTCAGTACATTTGGAGAAGTTCTCATGGTGCAGGTAAATTTCTGTTGTACTTGAGTCAAAAGCTATGAATTCAGATGGAAGTTTTTCTGCATGAGCCAGTACAAGGCAAAAAGGGCAGTATAAATTTAAGAGCACACCTTTAATTGTTGTAACATTAAAATTTGCTTTATACTATTTGCTTTGCAGTATGCTATTTTTTCTTGGAGATATCTTGGTATGTGTTCAGGTCTTTGACCCATGTCAAGACTGATTTCTCAAAAGGGGATGATTCTGATGTTACACTAGTATAAACAAGACATTATGTGGCCCATTGTGTGGTGTTTGGTTTTTGTGCTTGCATATTAGTTTATTGGTATGGGGGTAGTTGTAGCATTTGTGAAGACTTACTTTTTACAGTTCTTGTTTGAATTTGAAACTTAACTTTAACAATAAGTTTGAGTTTAGGTTTAAGGATGTTTTATATTGATATTGGATTAGTACTTTGCCACGATGCATCAAACCCATGCTCTTTTGAACATTGTTTGCTATAATGGTAATTCACAGCCTGATTTTGTAAGTATGAAACTGTTAAATGCTTTTGTGTATTGTCATTGATAGTACCAGTGGCCATTTCATGAGGGACATAGAAGCCTCATTAAATTAGGATCAAAACTTTTCACATTGCACTCTTTTAATCATGCTTTGATAATCCTAACATTCCTGTTGATCTAGGAAGAGACTACTAATTAGCAGCTAGTTGCAGCTAGTCTAAGAATACCAGTGCATATTGCTGCTTCAGTATTTCAGCTATCTAGATCATCTTTTTCTCCCCTTTCCCCATCTCGCTTTAGGTTAAGAAAGACATTAAGACTGGTCACTCAAAGGGTTTTGGTTTTGTTCGATTTACGGAGTATGAAACCCAGGTGAAAGTGATGTCTCAACGACACATGATAGATGGAAGATGGTGTGACTGTAAACTTCCTAATTCTAAGGTATCGTTCCTTAAATTATTTTAGTGTTTGTAGAAACAAAACAGGCACTCTTTTAAAGAATCCTGTTGAGTGAAGAGCGGATTAGATATATGGGCAAACAAAAGGAGAGGGGGACTTTAACGGGATCCTTGAGGCAGGTGAGAAGACAAAAAGGAGGAGTGGAGCCTGGAGGTTAGGTGAAGGAACAGTGGGATGGGGGTTTGAGAAAACTATTAAGCATAGGGAAGATGATGTCCAGTCTGAAAACTACAGAAACCAGCATGCTGACATCATAAATGTCTAGTAGCCCCTACTTCAGATACTGTCCACATTTTGCAGAAGGGAGGAAAGTGAGGCACAGAGGATAGGTAGGTAACTTGTCCAAGGCCAGACTGGGTCAGTGGCAGAGCTGGGATCAGAATCCAACACTTTTGACTATGCATATTTCCTCACTATATATGTATTTAACTGAAGGATTTAAAGCACAAGGAATGCTCTGCTGCCTACCTAACCAGTCCTCATTTGCCATCCCTTTTCAATTCTCATCTCCTTCCCACTCTCCATTTTTTACATATATCCCCCTGGCACCACGCCTAGGAGATGCCCCTTGAGCAAGATGTTCTAAACAAATCTCCAATCATCAGAAGAGCTTTAGATTATGGGTGGTAGATATGGCTGTGGTCAGTATATACTGGTGTTTCCACCATTGTCAGCACTACTGGAACTGCACCACTACAAGAGCAAAGATAGGAGATTTCCCTACAACTTCTAGTGCAAAGGTCCTAGGGGGTAAGATGGCTTCCATCTACTCAGGAATTCCAAGTTCATCCCTACAGTCTTCCTCTCAGGCGGTACAGTTTTTAATTACATTATCTCGGGTAGAGTGGAGAGCAATCGGAGGGTTGCTTTTCTTTAGATCTTCCTATAACTGATACACCCCCATAACCTGGTTAATAGTTTATGAATTTCTCTATCACAAAAGAAACTACGTTGTATTTGGTATTCAGAAGGATGATTGCAGTGTTTTGGTCAATATTTCTTTTTCTGCAATTCTACCCAGCAAAGTCCTGATGAACCTTTGCGAAGCAGAAAGGTGTTCGTTGGGCGCTGCACTGAGGATATGACTGCAGATGAGCTCCGGCAGTTCTTTTCTCAGTATGGAGAAGTGGTAGATGTCTTCATCCCCAAACCCTTCAGAGCTTTTGCTTTTGTTACATTTGCAGATGATCAGGTATTTATTTAAAATATTTTAGCCCCTGACATTTAGGAAACGGTTTCCTAAGTCTTTTCAATATCTCTCTTTACCATTCTGACTATAAATGTTGACAAACACTGTCACTTAGCATGTAATTATTGGAATTGAATGTACAGCGCTTGTTTTTGTCATTGCAATTTGAGAATTTCAGTTGTACTTTGAATTTCTATTGAATTACATCAATGTGCTTACAGTTCATGTCTACAGAGTCACACATTTCAGCTGGTACTGTGTATATGGATCTTCACACTAGACTAAGTAACTTAAGTTTATTCAGTAAAGTTAAAGGATCTTGTTTTTAGATTGTCATTTCTTCACACACCCTTCCTTTACAGTTTACACTTGTATTCAGAATCATGTGGTTTGTCTTATGTTGTAACAAGTAATTTAAAAATGGTCTAATTCTATATTTATTTACATCCCTTATTTCTTATAGGTTGCCCAGTCTCTTTGTGGAGAGGACTTGATCATTAAAGGAATCAGCGTACATATATCCAATGCTGAACCTAAGCACAATAGCAATAGACAGTTAGAAAGAGGTGGAAGATTTGGTGGTAATCCAGGAGGCTTTGGGAATCAGGGTGGATTTGGTAATAGCAGGGGGGGAGGAGGTGGTTTGGGGAACAACCAGGGCAGTAATATGGGTGGAGGGATGAATTTTGGAGCATTTAGTATCAACCCTGCTATGATGGCGGCAGCCCAGGCAGCATTGCAGAGCAGCTGGGGAATGATGGGCATGTTAGCTAGTCAACAGAATCAGTCTGGGCCATCGGGAAACAACCAACCTCAAGGCAACATGCAAAGGGAGCAGAACCAGGGTTTTAGTTCAGGAAGTAATTCTTACGGAGGATCTAACTCTGGAGCAGCAATAGGTTGGGGGTCAGCATCAAATGCAGGATCAAGCAGTGGGTTTAATGGAGGCTTTGGTTCAAGTATGGATTCCAAATCATCAGGCTGGGGAATGTAGACAGTGGGCTCTGATACTGACTCTATGGTGGGAAATCAAATTTTTCTAAACTCATGGTAAGTATATTGTAAATTGCATATATACTAAAATTTTCCTGATCAATTTGTTCAATGTGCAGTATATTCAACAGTATTTTTGACATTTTTCTTTTGTAAAAAGAAAGGTTAAAGGAATTTTATAAGTTTTGTTACATAATTTGTTGGAATATTGAATGATTGAAAGTGAACTGCTGTTTGCCTGATGGGTAAACTAACACACTACAATTGAGAGGAAGGGTTTCTCCTGTAATATTTTATTCCTTGTCAGCTGAATTCTTTGCATGTTCAAAAAGGAAACCATTGGTCAGAAACTACATTCTTTCTTTTCCTCTTGTTTGTTTTAATTTGATCCCCACCATAAGAATCTCTCCAAATGCCCCAGTTGGAGAACACAGTGTCGGTGTTGTGGTGTTTTGTTTGTTTGTTTTTTTTTCCTTTTAACACTGTCTCCCCTCATATACTAAGTACAATATGAAGGCTTCATTTAGTCTCTGCAGTTCATCTCATTTCAAATGTGTATGGAAGAAGCACTTAATTGAAAGCAGTGCTGTAAATATTCTGCTTTAGGAATACTTCTGTCTACATGCTTTCTCATCCAAGAATACTTCATCACACTGCACATGCTACGTCTTAGACGGTGGGTGTTCCATTTTTATCCGCTACTCTTTATTTCATGGAATCGTATCAACGCTATGAACGCAAGGCTGTGAGATGGAACCAGAAGGCTGTTTGAACTTTTGAAACCTTGTGTGGGATTGATGGTGGTGCCGAGGCATGAGAGGGCTGGTATGTGCGAGAAAAAGGAGAGAGCGCATGCAGAGACCTGGTGGTGCATTATGGGATTTTATTTTACTTGGCGAGATGTCTCTCAATCCTGTGGCTTTGGTGAGAGAGTGTGCAGAGAGCAATGATAGCAAATAAAGTACGAGTGTTTCTTGCATTCAAAGGACATCCATATCTGGAAGACTAAATGGGTTTTATACCTAGTTAACCAATTAGTTGAATGTGTTAAGTGAAATGAATATCTGTATTTTTTTTTCCCTTATGTCAACTGCTGTGAATGTTGTATGGTGTGTGTTCTTTTCTGTTAATGATATGTAAGTGTGGTAATGTGAATCGAAGATGATGGGGTTTGTGACGAGAACATTGAGTTTGTGGTGTGCTTTGCGGTAGTTGTAGCAGAGTTCACTAGCGAGCTCAGTGTGCCTCTTAAGGGTGGAAGTTCCACTGTCTGTAAGATATCCATAAGAATGCTGTTTGCTGCAGTTCTGTGTTTGGATGCTTTTTATAAGATTTGTCAATGTAGGAAATTCTTAAATAAAACTGATTTAAGTAATATGTGTCTTTGTTTTGCAGCCCTGAATGCAAAGAATTCGTAACAGTTAATTTATTTTGTCCTTTGAGATGAACTTCCGTAAAGTTGTTTTTGCAGTAATTCAGTTTGTTTCAGATAAGCATGCTTTAAAAGTTGACAAGTCAAATGGATCCATCACTCTTCATGCATTGATACCTGACACCCAACTTGTAATCCACTGTCTATTTTTGCATTGTTCTGAGATACATATCTAAAATCCAGTTCTCACAAGGTTGAGTGCTCTCACCTAAAATGGTAAGCCATTCCCTCCAGCTTGCATCCTCACCAAGGAAGCTCCTACTTGTTTTTAGGAATGAGGGTGGATTTTTTTGGAGTTGGGGAGAAGGGGCGATGGGGGAAGTAGCTAACACATGTACCTGTCAGTAGATTTGCTGCTTTTAAATATATTTTCCAAAGCAGCTCCTTTGAGGATGAGAATGTAAAGCAAAATAAATATTGTAGGCTGCTTTAAATCAGCCTGCTGATTGGGAACAAAAGGGAAAATATTCCCACTCTAATTTGAGCACAGAAGAAACTGTAAACTTGTGGCTAAAATAAAATATTAGCTCATGATGAAGAATATCCACCTGAAGAAAGTATTGATGAATTTATAAGAGGCTTCTTATCTCCAAATGAGAAATGTATCCAGTAGTAACATATCCAGCAAGGTTACATCCATAAATATTAGATCTTCAGAAATGGATATAGTGTGTACTTGAAATCCAGCACCACACTGATCCTTTTATTACTGTATTTCATATTCTGCAGCTTCTGAATATGGAGATTTAGGGCAATTTAGTTTCTGCTTTGACTTGGATATTTAAGTTCTTAAAGTGGATCTTAATTAGGATGTATCCTATTTATTTGTATCTCAATATGGTTTATCATGAAGGGGAGACTGTCTAATTTTTGTTAGATATTTGCATTGGTATTACTTTAACTCCAGTCCAAGGGGATAACTGGCAACTAAGTCTCAATCTACATACTTACAAAAAAACAAAGGGGGTTGTGATCTCTCCAGCAATAAATTGTAATTCCAAATCTTTTCACTATTCAGATCCCTTTGCAAAAAGTTGCTTAATTTTTCTGCACCTAAATCAGATAAGATTTCCAAACTCTGTACCATCTGTGAATTTTGCATTTTAGCACTTGCACTATTACCAGCTACTGCTGCTGAGTAACACTTAAAAATGGTATTCTGGAACTTCCAAAGACTTTAACGGTGGCATCCCTGCAAGGAACCTGATGGTAAGTTTGTCATTAGCATGGCTTTAATTTGTTTAAACTTGTTTAAATTGAGGATCAGGTATTAGCAGGTTGGCAGCAGTGGGTAATCTTTACTATGAATTTTAGTCTCCCCTGACTCTCAAAGAAATTCCTGAAAGTTTTATAGCAGTTTTCAGACTTTATTGGTCATTTTCTCTATATGCTTTTTATATTCTAGTGTTTTAAGTGAGTTAATAAAAGGTATTTGTCACCACCTGCGAGCGTTGTCTTGTTCTTTAACAATTTTCATTTCAAGTATGTATTACAATATGATTAAACAGACAAAGGATGTTTGTAGAAACAACCAGTTTTTAATACAATTAGGCTATATTCTTCAGGCTCATTTAGGCAAAAAAATAAAATAAAATTGCATTTTAGTATAACAGCTTCTGAGCAAACTTTTTAGGGTAACCTGCTAAATCTTTCTTAATCTGACTAGTGGGAATGTACTGCTAAAACTGATGGGATGTTGACAGTTTCCTGGGCAGTACTGCTTTAAATATGAGTGAATATGGAGACTGGACCACTACATGACTTAATTATATTTTAGTAATGACTGTAAATGTGAAAACACCTTCAGAATCTTGGTTATACTATCTCTCTGCTCTGTCTGTTTTTGTAGAGGCAGGTTATTATAATAGCCCTGCAATTGTGATTAAGGGTGTTTACTCTGTTCTTAGTAATGTCTAAACTGGCTCTTAAGAATAGAGCAGAAACATTCTGTCCATACTTTGCCATCGTCTTGCAGAGCTGTCCAGCTGAAGCTGTTGGGATTTCATCAGATGCAGCAAGCGTCTCAAAGAACTAGTAAAATTTTTGATTTTGACATTTGTATTCTAACTTGAGGGGAATTATTTATGGCTGTGCTAATATAACAAGTGCTAAACTGTCTTTCCCACTGTCTCAACAAGTATGTTCTTCAATTAGATTGGTAATACTATAGTTTTATTACGTGTTTTTTAAAAGGATTGTGATCCACAATATTAAGTGGACACAATCAATTTAACACAACTTTCAGATGGAAAGTATTTAACACCTAAGATTCAGTTTTCTGTAATATTTGCTTTTTTAGTTAATGTCAATAAACTAAACAAGGTGCTGCTAACTCCAAAGTTTCCCTTGATCATTTGAGCCTTCCACCTAGCAACAGGTATGGAAAGCAACTTTAAAATAAGATTTGAGTGTAAAACTGATTAGGTTAGTTGGGCAGATACAACACCTGAAAGTTCTAATTGACAAAATGAAGTCTATTAAATCAACTTTAAAAATATTACAAAACTGCAATCTGATCTGTTAAATGCCTTAATGTAACAAAAGGGAGAATGTTATTGTTAGTTACTGCACATAAGAAAGTAGACTATTTAAGAATTTTTCAAAATGGTGTTTTCAATCCATGAAATGTAGTTAATCACTTTTGTATATACCCCATATTGGCCAGCAACCCCACAGTCTACGCCCCAGGACACAAGACCACCGACAAACCATTTCTTAGTCAGATTATCTAAGAAAGTTAATGGTCCCCCACTGTCACCCTGACAAGAATCTTTTCCCCCTTCTTCCTCCCCAGCACACAACATGTTTTCTGTTAGTGTCAGATATTTTCCCTGTGGCAGCTTTGCAAATGCATCTTTACACTTTCTGTTGTCAATAACTACTAATTCAACATACATTAGATGATGGGAAAGCCTCCTTTTCTCAGTTCTTCCCCAGCCAGCTACAGTTCCCATATCATCTGTTTTCACATGGAATCTTTCTTCTTTTCTTGGCAAGCAAATGGGGATAATATTTGCATTAATTGGGACTTTATGTTTCAGTTTAATCAGTGCAATGTCATTGTTATAACTGGTGCCATCGATGTAACTTTCATGTACAAAAATTTCTTCTGCCCAGGCTTGTTGGTAGTGAACTGAACTTTTGTTCAGAAATCCCATTTTGATTGTCAATGTTGATGGGTCTATTTGACGGGCTACGACATGAGCAGCAGTTAAAATCCAATTGTCATACAAGAGGGCGCCACCGCCTGCTCCTCCATCTTCAGCAATTAGCATAACTTGCCAGGGGAACTGTCCAGGCTTTGCCCTTTTCCCTCCAATTATACGTTCCAGAGTTGTCCCGGTTTGTATTCCACAAACTGATAGGAGAGAAGCACATGAAGTGATAAACATTTAGTAAAGATTTGGAGTATGGCAAGTGGTTACTAAGTCTGGCTCAGCTGAAGTCACCAAGTTTAGACATTGCGTCTAACTAGCTAATCAATTTTGGAACAGTGAAATCAGTCATCTGTGACCAGCCTGAAAACCTAGACAAGAGCACAGTTGTAAACTTAAGTTTGCAAATGGGTTGATGCTGTCAAATAACTGATTTAGGAGGTGATTTTCAATGGGACTTGTGGTCTTAGCACACTTATGCACTTCTGAAACTCCCACTTTGTATTCTGCTCAGTGCAAGAAATTAACATAGGGACCATCACTTGAATCCTACTTTTAATTTCTTAAGAATAAAGAAAGAGGCTACATATGAAGTTTAGGCATAAGGAGAAGATGAGGAGGTTCTTTGGGATGTGTGGTCCCTATCTGTATTCAACTGTGGGTTATGCATGTGCCTGGAGTCAGAGAATTTGAAAGTAGTATCTGGTCTGCGCATGCGCTCTGGCTCATCTTGTGCCTCTGACTGAGGCAAAAAAGGACAGAGTGGAAGCAAAGGGGAAGGAGTGCAGGTAGTGGATAGGGGGACCACACATCTCTAAGAACTCCAGTTCTAGGTAAGTAATTTCCTCCTCAAGTAATGGTCCCTATTGTATTCCACTGTGGGTGATTGACAAGCAGTACCTAAGTAGGAGGAGGGTGTGAGGATGAGGGCAGTAGGGTTGAATGGAAAATCTCCATCCCAAAGGATGCATCAGCAGCCGAGTCCTGTAGCAGGGTGTAATGCCTTGCAAATGTGGATGGAGCTCCACATGGCTGCTTTACAGATAGCTAGGAGCTCACTAAAGGTTTCAACTTAGAGCATGCAGCAATGAGAAGGAACTGAAGAGGCAATAGGTCCGCCCCACCCTCTATCGCCTTGGTTGGAAGTGGGAGGTGAGCCGGGGTCAGTGCACAGAGCAGTGGACGCTACTTTCAAATTCTCCAACTGCGGATGCATGGTACACGTGTAATACACACTGGAATACAATAGGGACCATCACTCGAAGAACAGAAGGGAACAAAAACATTTAGTGTAAAACTATAGAGGTGAATGAAAATCAATTTTACTGTAAAGGACGCTTAATACCATGTGAAATTACAGAATAGCACAAAACTCAACTTCATGGGTTTTCATGCTCTCTAAATACCAGCTAATTAGGAAATGTTGCAAAGTCAGTAATTTAATTGCCTAAACATTCAAAATCATGACATTCTGCAGCAAAACTACCTGACGGGCTCATTTTCACTCAAGTCTTTCTGTTTTAGCCTGAAACTCATGCAAACTGGACCAATGTTGAATATACAAACTAATAAATTCTAATTTTATTGTGAAACTTTTGCCCGTACCAGGCTCAAAGAGGCATCTGCTCTACTGCAAGTTGGGTCAGATAGAATCAGGTATGAGCTTAAGAGGTCCTGAGAATCCACAGCTTCCACTGTCCTTGACATAGGTGGTGAGTTATATAGGCCCATGCTCCACCAATATTTAAGAAAGTGGGCCTAGCTCCACCAATGTTTGGGCTTACCGTGCTTTCAGGGGCCCTGTGCTTTCAGGGGGACATGGGGTCCAGGGTGGCCTGGGGAGTTAGCGGGGGACCTGGCGCTGGCAGCAGTGAGAGACCTGGCCCAGCCCACCCCTGCTCCGCCCCCATTCCATCCTCCCAGCTTCCACCCCCTCCACCAAGTGACACTGGGAGCTGAGCAGGGCGGGCTGGGTTGCTCGCTGCTGCCAGCGTCAGGCCCCAGGCTGCCCTGGACCCCGTGTGCCCCTGAAGCGCCGGGCCCCCCAAAGCGCAGGGCCCAGGCCAGTTCTGCTTGGACCCACTCTGGGCACCCCCAAAAATTATATAAAGCTGGCACCCATGGTCCTTGATGGGACGTGATAAGTGCTCAGCTTCAAGCCTCCACGTTAACAATGGTGGAAAACTCAGGAGCAGGGCCGGCTCTGGCTTTTTTGCCGCCCCAGGCAAAAAAGCCTCCCCGGCCCCCAGCGGGGAGCGCGGCCGGGGCCCCACTCTCCCTGGCCGGCCGGA